GTACTTGTTAAATTGTTTGATGTCTCTCCTTTGCATTCCACCAAAATCTCACAGGATCCTAGCCTCTGTGCCTTCGTTAGATGCTAGGGAATTGTGAATGAAGAGATACCTGGTTGGCATCTGATCTGCAAGGGGAGAAGGAACCACTCTTAAATTCTTTTGAAGTACGCTTCTTTCTTGGAGATGCATCCAAACAAAACTCCATTCCATCACTAGCTAATAAATGGAGCTCTCCTTGATTGTAAATCAACCTCTCATCACTACATTGCCATTCACAGGATCACACGGTGAAAATAATAATACTTTATTGTTTGAAACAACCTAAATAAGAAAGGTGAAAGTGCATACGAAGACAAAAGAGGTTTTTGCTTGTATAAGCATAAAGGTTCATGGCTTCCCATGTTCTGTTTCCAGCATATCTGGTGAAGATCTTGGTCAAGAGCTTCAATTGACCAACCGTTAACTTTGGGATGATTGCAGCTAGTAAAACCCAGAAACTGTGCATGTGATTTGCCAACTTCCTTCAAACATCTTCTTGATCTTTGGCTGTAAGCTGTGGTCTTATGTGTAGAACCCTTTGTGCCAGTAACATAAGGAAACTGCATGTGCAATGCAATGATATATCAGAAAAAAAACTCAGTAAAAATTCCAAAGAGCTCCAAAACTCATTGTTTCACATGCCTCCATATTGTTCGTGCTAAAAGAATTTATTTCCAGAATGAAGGGATTGGTGATCAAACTGTATGTGATCTCATCAAGCTTTCTAACATCTCCTCCAAACATTAGAGGGGATCTGGCCATTGCCCACAAAGTCATCTGCGAAGGAAAATATTGAATCAGGTCATCAATAAAGAAGCTTAATTTTTCAGCAGTGGACTAACGCACATATAGAGTTGCATGTACATACCTGAGTTTTTTGCTCATCCAGATTAAGGTTACTCATTCTGTATGGTCCTCTGTTAGAACCTAGGATACAGAAAAGCAATGTGATTATTCAAGTTTTTGTCTTTTCCAGTAGAACTCTTTACTTAAAACATTTTCAAGTTAATCATGAATACCCAGCAACTTATGTGGCAAACCCCTAGACCCAAGGTAAAAACCGGTCCAAATGTATACTTTTCAATGAACTTGTTACAAGGATGTGTGTCGTTCAATTACCATGATAAACACAAGAGTGCAAGGACAAGCTATGCTGTTTTGCTACCCCAATGTAACAGCAAGCATTCCACTGCTTCGTTCAATTTATATGTCAGTAAACTATGTTGCAATCAGCTTTCCTATACTCAGTCTCAACAACCCTTTAAAAAATAAAATTACTTAAAATGTGCTAGAATTAAAGAGAACAATCTGCTAATTTTTATCACCTGGATCTGTAAGCCATCCTAGGGGCAGCATATCTAAGTCAGGCCATGATCTCCCCAGCAAGCCCTTGGCACCAATCTTATTAGCAGCAGCAAAGTCTCTGAAGTAGAAGAACAAGATATTGCATAAAAAATTGAAAGAATAGAAGAAAAGCACCAATTAGGGGCAAGGATCTACATATAATTTGAACTTTAGGCTCTTTTTTGATATGAAAACTTTAATCCACCTTGAAACATCGAAATGAGCTGCAACATCCCCCCATGTATCCCAATCATCCCCTGTTACCCTGTACATGTTGACTAACCCACTTATATCTTTCGCCATGTTTGGTGTCGCACTAGTTCCAGGAGACAAAGAATACAGAATGGGACGATTGAGCTTTTGCAGAACCTGAACAAGTGCTCTTCATATATCATCATCATCTCTATTCGGAAAAGATTGAAGCATAAAATTTATGCACCAGAAAGTGCTGTATACCTCTGACACAAACGTTATTTCATCAACATCCAAGTCATCACCAAATACACAATCATGTTTCACTGCAAATAAAAGAGAAAAAAGAACATCAAAATTATTAAAACAAAGAAAGACTGACATGAAGCCACTAAGAAAATGTAGTGGTATAAATAACAGGAGGAAAGATTGAAATGTACAGAATTCACAATTTTGTAATAAATGCGAGTCAAAATTTTTAATTCCTGGCTTGATTTACGGTAGCAAACAAACCAAATTGTTTGTGACCAGTTCTGGGCTCAACTCCATATAGATGAACAGCATAGCTAGATTTTAAACAAACAAACACATATTCAGCACAAAGAGGGCAACTAAGCATCCAAAAAAAACTACAGCTCAGCCTTTACAGAAATAAATTTGTTTTTTTTTCCTTTCCACAAAAATTGATATCTATACAGGTTTGGTGTCATCCAAACATTGCACTTTCATTTCTTGGCTGAGTTTACAACCTTGAGCTCAAGATAAATTTTGGATGTTCTTAAATAAACCATAAGAAGCTTGCAAACTTGCCTAAGGCTAGTTTGAGCTTAAAATGCCTGAAGAGGTCAACACTCTACTAGGCTCATTTGCGATATTACTATCGAGTCCCTCCAGCACCTTCATAATATATTCCCCACATTATTACAGAAACAATAATTCATCCATGCTTCCTATAATGGAAATTCTCAAAAGATGCAACACTACTTTGAGAAATTATTTTACCGTTTTTAATCAGTAAAAAGTAAAATTCATTCTCTAGAAAATGTTGAGACTTGAGATACACCCTATCGGATTCACAGACTTATTAATGTGTTGGGTAAGATGGAAAAATGCAGGTTTCAGTTAATTAGTAATTACCAAAATCAACACCCCACTCAGCATACTGTTCATAAAGTGACCTCAAGAATGCTCTTCCTGCTCCCAACTTAGTATTTACACTCATGAAACCATGTGACATCCATGCACAAGCTCTTTCCTTGATCCCTATGTCTTTTGCCCGCCATTGTTGTCCAGACTCTTCATAAGCACCTCCCTAATAAAAATTGAAATTTAGCATTAACTTTTGAGAGCAAATCGATTAGATTGTTAACTTTATGCCTTATATCAAACCTTTCACCTGACTAGTCTATTTTTATGATGATAAAGTTTGCAAGATTCTGCAATCTGGGCATGCAAGGGAAAAGAGAAGAAATACTTCTCCCGGTGAAAAAAAAAAAACATGAAAACAAAAGAAAAATAAAGAAAACAGAAGATGAGAGAAGAATGAATCCTCATTGATAATAAAGAACAATACCGTGGTAGTGTCCAGGATGAGGGTGTTCGCATCATATGCCTGTCTACTTAATCCTCTCATAACATGAATCCCAAACTTCAAACCCATGCTGTGCACTTTCTTGGCTACTTCAGTGAACCCTTTCCCATCTTTGGATGACGGCCACCTATCTGGATCAGGAATCATCCTCCCCCATTCATCAATGACATCAAATCCAAGAGAATCTGGGTAAGCACCTGGAACATTCTTCCTATACCACAGGTAATCTACCACTGCATACTACATGAAATTACACAGATAAATGACAACTTCTATTCCAATAAACTTTCCCATTCTCATATTGCTCAAGTAATTAAAGAAGTTCTAAAAGTTGATTGTAGTCATCAACCATTTTATACCTCATATCCATAAGGCTTTAGACGCTGAGAGATTATTCCGGCGCTTTGCAAGAAGTCTTCTTCAGATATAATCCAGCAAAAGGAATCGTAAGAGTTCCAACCTCGAGGTGGGAAGCTAGCGTGCTCAGGTTGAGATGATACCCTAAAACAGGTTTTGTACAAATTATTAAGTTCACAAACTAATATATTTGGCCAAGAAAGCCTTCAAAACAAATTTTGGAACAATTATAGGATTTACAAAATGAGACATAATTGTGCATTCTTCAATCCAATCTCCTATGAGGATCATCAAAGACTAGACAAGACAGTTCATCGAAATAGCAAAATTTGGGGATGTAATTGCAGTACTATTTGGTTAGAAATTTTGAAAGTACTTGTCTTGCTTCCAAGAATCAAATGTAAAAAGGGTTTTCTTATCTCAAAAACTCCTATGTGAATCATAACAGTAGTGAAGAGAAGAAAAATAAAGAGAGAAACACCTGTAAAGATAAGAACCTAAGGAGAAGAGAAACAGAGAGCTCAGCAATTGGATCCTCATTGTTTTAGTATACTGAAATGCAAATGTAGCAAGTATTAGAGAGTTGTAAAAGACATTATATGGATAAATTTTTCAACTTTCTAAACCAATCTAGCTGGATGGTAATTTATGAATTGATGCAGCCAAACTTACGGAAGTTTTTTTCTTGGGAATCTTGAGAGCACTAGGCTTGCTTGGTTGGTAATTACATGAAGCAAGGGTGAATGACTTGTATGATGTTTCCAGGAAATTTACTACAAGTTTCTCCAACAAACGAAAGGTCCAGTTTTTCTGGTTCGGGGTTGAAGATATAAAGGTTGAGATAAATAACAGGAGAGAGAGAGAGAGAGAGAGAGAGAGAGAGAGGCACCTATAAAGAGAGTAAGTGGAGAAGAAGAAAGAAAGAGGGCTCCACAGTAGGATCCTCACAGTCTCGAGTTCACTTCTTAATTATAATTACTGAAATGCAATGCAGGTCCTTCCTCCTAACCATCAAATCTTTTTAAGGGCATTAATGATGCAACGTTGATCGGTAACTGGGGTGGGTGGTGGTGATGATGAAAACGGATAATCTCTTTTTTCTTCTTATTTAATTCGCCGGTGATGCTAAGTCCCCTCGTGTCCTTTTCAATCCCAATTGAAGAAATAATAATTTTTATCCTTAAAAAATATTTATTAAACGGTGTTTTCGTCTGGTTAGTTGAAAAGAAGAAGAAACAATTGGGGTCGGCGGTTCAGTCGGAGCATAAGCTTGTTACTGATCCGACAAACCTGTCGGCGTGGAAGAAAAGAATCCAAATCAGGACACTTAGCTTGCTACTAGATACATTCGAATCCCAACAACCTTCTGAACTCGACTTTCGATTCACAATTGACAGGTGGCTAAATATATGCTTTTCTTCTGAACAGAGATAATTCTGCTGTGAGCGTGGTGACCAGTAGCTTATTCACCATTTGCTATTTGCAACTTCTAGATAGCCTTCGATATTTCCATTAGCAATAGCAGTCCAACTTACAAATTTCAACTTGTAATTTACAATAAATAAATCAACCAAATAAAAAAAAAAAAAAAACAGCTTCTAGTCTTTGGCACAATTGCTTATCTATCTTTGTACTGGAGACTAAACTGTTGAGTAACTGCGAAGAGACTTAGTAATCCAACCATACGCTCGAATCCTGCTCCAGCTTGCCGGCGGCTATCTGTGCGGATCATATTCCCCTAGTTCTTCCCTATAAAAACCTTACGCCACTCATTTTTCTTCGTTCTTGGTAAAATAATAGCTTCTCAAATCACAGAGCCATGATTCTTTCAGACATGCTCCTAATAATGAGTTAGAGGCGACGCATCTAGAAATATATGCAGTCAGGCTCTACACATACAAGGAGTCAGAGGGTTTTCCCAGAGGTCATAATTGGGGAAGGTCTCCTCTGGCAATCCAGTTCGTGTTTGGTGAGTGACAACCACATCCTCTACAAAAGTTGCCCAGCCCATGTATGGGTCTCCAAAAGATTTGGACATCAGCCCCTTGTCTGGTTTTATGGATTTGTGAAGATGACCCATGTACCGACGGGCCCCAATAATCAATTTAGCAAAGTTGCCTCCATGGGTCATCACAAACACGTCAGACTTCAGGCAAACCAAGAAGTCAAGAGCTGCCAAACTAGTCACATGCTTCCTGAAACCATCTAACTCCTCTTTGGTTGCCAACTCTTCCTTTGTTACCTATTAGAAACCCTCAGTCAAATATTGATGGTTAATAAATTCAAAATTTGTATAGAAAAAACTCACTTTGAAAGGCTCCTCTCACAGGCTAGCCATTTAAAAAAATGCAACTACAAAAATTCAGCCAACATTTGGAGCCCGAAAGCGTTTTGATTTCTCAATTTCCTAAACACTAAATAGAATTTAGAGCATGCAAAACCATTTAGCTTCCCATCCCAAAGTAAAATTAAACTCTCTTTTTTCCAAGAGTACCATACATATAAATATATTTGCAGGCATGTGTATTCATGCATGCATGAATATTGCAGTAGCTGGAAAACATTCTTCCTTTATTTATCTTTGGAGATAAGAGAGGTATCAATGTAGGTTATTTTGTATCAAGGACGTAACAGGATGGAGTATCCCGTGGCTGCAATATTATTCACTTGTGGAATTTATATACAGTTTTCCATTTTAAAAACATCGATTGGATGTATATGCTGGCACCACAAACAAAAGAGATGGAAATGATTTCACAAACATGTTTAGTCACTTCACCGATGAAAATGGAGTGACAGAAACAGAATCAAAGGCCTTACCAGGCTTGGGAACATGTTCTTCAGTGGAGCCATTCGGTTTTGTCCACCATAAACCTGGCCAGAAGCTACATAAATCTGAGTTTCCTTAGGATATCCCATTGCCCGAAGAATCACAGCCACTTCCCCGGGTTCAAGAGGGCACCTTCCTTCCTTCCGTTTTTGCAGGGCCAATTGCCATAGATGGGAACCGTTCTGCAAGATAAATCCCCAAAAGCTTATAAATCATCCATGCCTGTTCAAGTTTCAAACTAAAACCAGTAAACTGATAACTCACCTTATATCGTCGAGGCCACTCTTTTTTTCTATATTCTCCCATTCTAGCTTTCTCATCCCTTGTCCCCACAAAATCACAGAATGATAGACCTACCATTCCCTTTTCAAATCTAAGATGAAGAGCCCTATATGACAAATAATGTTTAGTGCCACTGAATTTCAAATTATAAAAAGTTGGAACTAAGTCCAGACAACTTCAGATATCAATGTCACATACATATATGGATTTGAAACTCCTGTGCGGTTTCGCATCCTTGATACCAACAAATCAGACATTTCCTCTATCTCAGGAAGAAATTTCAGAGCATGATAATTCACCCTGCACCTTAGCCTGTTGATTTCTGGAGGAACATTATCATATCTACAGCATACACAAAAAAAGGAAAGAAAAAAAAGACAGAAAATTAACAATCCAAGACCATTTATTTTTCTTCCAATGAAAGTAAAATTTTGAGCATAGCATAGTGCCCCAGAGATGTACAACATCCATGACTCACCCAAGCCGATCCACAAAAGGCTTCAGGGCCATTATCTTCTTTTCCTTGATTCGAGGCAGTACATTATCTATGTAGAATTGAGCAGGTGCATATTTTGGAATGTTTTTCACTGTCCGTCTATAACATAGATGGCAATTTTTTTCCAAATAATCAACACCAGATGCAACAAATTCAAGTCATCATATAAATGTGCACAACATGACAAAATGAGGAGCACAAAACTCAAACCTTATACTTGTGAATAACTCTGACTTGTCAGTAAACCACTCAGGTATATCACGAACAATTCGTACATCATACTTTAAATAGTCAATGAAATGATCAACATCAAAAATGTCTTCAAATTTCCTGCAGACATTTTGTAAAAGAAAAAAAGGCTTGTGAGAAGGGGAAAATCTAACTCGTTAATGTAACTACAAATGAGACAAGGTTTTTTGTGAAAAAAGGAAATATAGCTAAGCATATAATAGTAATATGCCAAAATCAAATGAACCTATTTGAGATGACAATACAGCCACAAATTAGAATTCCCAACGAATATACATGTTTGTTGAGTGCATGAATATCACATCAATTTCCAACTGATGTTTCACCCCTCAAAAACAGCAAGACCTAGCATTGTTGAAGCTGAAAGACCTTAATAAGAAATATGAGGAGCAAAGCCATCCACAAGAAACATTGTTTATAAATCTCAGAAGAATAACGAGAAACAAAAACAAAAAATGTTAAAAGAATGTTGCAAGATGTAATGTCTAGGTATCAATGTTATCATATGCATAAGAGTATTGGCTTACGTTTGGTCTTTCCAAATCTGGTCCTGCTTCAGAACAGGCAAAATAAGGGTGGCATTCATTATTTTGGCCACTGCTACAGCATTGCATATCTGCATTAAAAATAAAAGCAGCATTCACTATAATTCAATCACTTTAAAGCTTGTTGCTTGGTAAGTAAAGGAATAAGCGTAATGTTTTTATGAAATACGCTACAGGAAGTTACTTTGATTAAAAATAAAGAGGTGAGAAAAAAGAAAAATTGATTATTGAACAAGCAAATTACCAACATCAAATAATAACAAATAATTGGCCAAAAAAAGAATATCCCAAATCACCAAGTCCAGATAGACCTGCTGAACTAACAAACATT